ACTGGTGCTGTCCCCGGTGCTCAGTGAGGGGGGGGCCCAATGTTGGGGTGGAGGGGGGGTCTCGTTGCTGGGGTGAGGGGGGTCTCAGTGTTGGGGTCTGTCCCCAGTGCTCAGTGAGGGGGGGTCTCAATGTTGGGGTGAGGGGGGGGTCTCAGTGTTGGGGTCTGTCCCTGGTGCTCAGTGAGGAGGAGTCTCAGTGTTGGGGTGAGGGGGGTCTCAGTGTTGGGGTCTGTCCCCTGTGCTCAGTGAGGAGGGGTCTCAGTGTTGGGGTCTGTCACTGACACCCTCTCCCTGCAGCCCCGGTGCTCTGGGGGTGTGGGTGGGGGTCTCACAGGTCAGGTTTCAGCCCCGGCTCTGAGGGGTGGGTGGGGGTCTCACACTGGGGTCTGTCAGTGCTGCTCGGGGCTGAGGGTGGGGGTCTCACCTGTGCTGTCCCTGCAGCTCCAGCGGGTGGCTGGATAAGGGTGGGGGTCTCAGGGGTGCTCTCCCCACAACCTCCACATTGAGTGGGGATAAGGGTGGGGGTCTCAGGGGTGCTCTCCCCACAGTGAGTGGATCCTGGACAAGGGTGGGGGTCTCAAAATGTTCTGCCCACACCGAGTGGTGCCTGGATAAGGGTGGGGGTCTCACGGTATCTACCCTGCATTGAGTGAGGATTGGGGTGGGGGTCTCACGGTGTCTCCCCCAGCCCCTGCACTGAGTGAGGACCAGGGCGGGGGTCTCACGGTGTCTCCCCTGCATTGAGTGAGGATCGGGGCGGGGGTCTCACGTTCTCCCCTGCATTGAGTGAGGATCGGGGCGGGGGTCTCACGTTCTCCCCGCATTGAATGAGGATCGGGGCGGGGGTCTCACGTTCTCCCCACACCGAGTGAGGATTGGGGCGGGGGTCTCACGGTTTCTCCCTGCACTGAGTGAGGATTGGGGCGGGGGTCTCACGGTGTCTCCCCTGCATTGAATGAGGATCGGGGCGGGGGTCTCACGTTCTCCCCGCACCGAGTGAGGATCGGGGCGGGGGTCTCACGTTCTCCCCGCCCTGAGTGGAGCCCGCTTAGGGGCGGGGGTCTCACGTTCCGTCCGCTCTCCCGCAGCCCCGGCGCCGTTCCCCGGGCAGCAGCCGCCGCCGCCGCCGCCCTCGCAGAGCCTGGCGGGGCCGCTCGGCGGCGGCAGCACCGGCAGCACCGGCAGCACCGGCAGCAGCAGCAGCAGCGGCCACCCCGCCGCGCCCGGTAATGCCGCCCTGCCCCTCGTGCCCCCCGTGCCCCCCAGCATGGCCCAGCCCCGGTGCGACCCCTTCCCCGCGCCCCCGGCCCCGCTCCCGCCGCACGGGGCCCTGGCCAGCAGCATGCCGGGGGTGGGGGGGCTGCCCCCCAACTCCCACCCGGCCCCGCCGCCGCCGGGGGGCTCGGCCGCCGCGCACAGCCCCGCCATCGTGGCCGCCGTGCAGGGAAGCCTCCTTCCCGGCCTGGCAGGTGAGAAACCGGCGGCGTTTCCCGGAGCCTCGGGCGGTGCCCGCACGGAGGGAGGCGAAAAGGGGAAGGGGCTGCGCCCGTGCCCCCCGCCCGGCCACGCCGCTGACCCCGCGCCCCCTTTTCTGTGTTTTCTCCCCACAGACCAGGGGCCCCCCATGCCGCCGGACCCCATCGCGCCCACCCCCAGCACGGCCACCCCCGTGCCCCCCACCCAGTGAGCCCCGGCCGGGCAGCGCCGCCCCCCCGGCCCGACCCCTCCCGCCCCCTCCCCGGACCCTGCCCCGCCACCAGCAGCACCCCCACCCCTCCTCCTCCTCCTCCTCCGGCCCCAGCTTTGGTATTTTTTTATGATTGTCCCAAATTTTATTTAAGTGTTGGTCTCCCGGGGGGGCCGGGCCCCTGCTCCCCCCGGTTATTTATGAGACAGCTCCGATCCCACCTGGCACACGGGCATTTCCCCCCCCTCCAAAATCCCCACCTCCCCTCCCTCCTCCTCCTCCTCCTCCTCCTCATCCTCATCCCTTTTTTGGTTTTTGGGGTTTTTTTCTGTTCGTTTCTTTTTTTAAAAAACCAATAAAAAGGAAAATTCCAAGTCCCCGGGGCGGGAAGAAGCGGCCTGGTGGTGCTGGGTCTGTGCGAGGTGGGGGTGGTGGGCGCTGGGGGGGACGCACACACGGGGTGGGGGGCACAACAGCCGTTCCCAAAATTTATTGGATGCTGTGGAGCAATAATTTAGCCGGTGGGGCTGAGGTGGGGGGGCTTTGGGGGGTCGGGGGGCTTTGGGGACGTGGTGGCGGTGATGGAAAAACGAGGGAAAAGGCACAGAAGTGAGTGAGGAGGGGACAGAGGATGATTTGGGGGGGGCACACAATGGTGGGGAGGGGTCTTCAGCCGCTCAGGGGGCAGAGGATGATTGGGGGGGGGACACAATGGTGGGGAGGGGTCTTCAGCCTCTCAGGGGGCAGAGAATGATTTTGGGGGGGACGCAATAATGGGGA